ATACAGCAGAATCTTTGTACGACTGTGCCTGAATAATTTGACGTTCCTCATAACAAATCCTAGCATTTTAGAAGCCTTTTTGGTTATGTTCTCGATGTGAGGCACAAATGTCAGTTCGCTGTCAAACAAAACTCCAAGATCCCTTATCTGGGTTACCTCCTGGACAATCGTACTATTCATGCAGTAAGCAGATGGTATAATGTTCTTTTTATTTCGGGAATATTTTACATGATAGCATTTCTTTATATTTAAATTCATGTTATTTTGCTTGCACCATTGAACAAGTGAATCTATATCTTTCTGAAGTAATGCTGTATCATTAATTGAATTAATTGACCTACAAAATTTGAGGTCGTCTGCATACATATAGCATTCGGAGTACTGCAAGTGATGAGGGATGTCGTTAATAAATATGTTGAAAAGAATTGGGCCCAAATGTGAGCCCTGTGGAACTCCTGAGGTGATATCGTACTTTCGCGATCTAAAACCATTAACTGCAACAAAAAATTCTCGCTTCGTCAGGTATGATTTAATCCAATTATATAGATTGCCTGTTATTCCATACGCCGACAGTTTATGTAATAGTATACTGTGCGAGACACTGTCAAAAGCCTTGCTAAAATCCGTGTAGATCACATCAACCTGTCCACTACGGTCAACTGCTTCTACTAGCGTTTCTGTAAAAGACACCAGATTTGTGCAGGTAGACCTTGAACCCACAAATCCGTGTTGATCTTCACTCAGATACAGTTTGAAGTGTGACTGGATGTAGGGACAAATCAAAGACTCAAAAACCTTAGCAAGGGTGGACAGAATTGAGATAGGCCTGTAGTTGGTAATATTATCCTGGTCATCACTTTTATGTACTGGTACGACCTTTGCTCGTTTCCAAGCGTCAGGGAAAACACCCGTATTAATAGAGTGATTATAAATAAGGAAAAGTGGTGATAACAGAACGGAGGCACACCTTGATACAAATATGGGAGGAATGCCGTCCGGGCCAGCACCCTTTCGAGTATCCAGAGACTTTAACTTATGATATAGCTTTTCTTTGTCGATCACTGGAGCTGTCAAATGCCAACCATTGTTATTCATAGTGTGAAGGTAATCTGAGTAAGTTGTACAAGATGTGGCTTGCGAATCACCAAAGACTGACGAGAAATGTGCGGCAAACATTTCGCATAATGTAAAACCATCTGATGTTTCTGTTGTACCATTAGTCATTGTGAGAGGTAATGCGCTAGTACCACCTCTTTTGTCCTTAATATATGACCAGAATTTATTGGGATCTTTGTAGATGTCGTTTTCAATATACTTGATGTAACTATTATAAGAACAAGTAGCCAAGTTAGTGCATCGCTTTTTTAGTAGTCTTAGCTCAAGCTCATCCATTGGATTTTTATATTTTTGTAGCGGATTCTTACTTTCTCTTTTTCTTTCAAAGTTCTTATTAAGTTTCTATTGAACCAAGGGGGGTATTTCTTTCGAGTTTTTGGAGGTTTAGAAGGTATTTGCTGGTTAATAATGGTATCAATTTGAGAATAAAAGACATCAAGCATTTCATTAACGTCACCAATGTTTTTGAAAGCCCCGTCCCAGTTTATTTCTCTTATGGTTTTACAAATGATCTCATAGTTCGCTTTAAAGAAATTCGGTCGGGCATTTTGAGGGTTGTACGGGAGTCTGGGATCCTTATTTACAGTAAATGTAATTTCTATTGGTGGGTGATGTGAATCGACCGCGCTAAGGTATCCTGGGGCAGCCGTAACGCGACCGTATACATCAGTTAGTACAAGGTCCAGTATTCGGCCCGAAATATTTTCAATGTTATTAAGTTGTGAGAATTTGTGCATGTTTGTAAAGTCCATTAATAAGTGGCTAATGCCCGGAGAAATATAGCTACTAGCTGAGTCATTTACCAAGTTCCATTTAATATTACCCAAATTAAAGTCACCAGCAATACAGGCATGTAAACATACTCGCTCCAGAATGATACTACAGTTGTTCAAATAAGTTTCTAGAGTGGTACGAAGTACAGGCGGTGGCAAGTAGACCGCACACAGAGCTACCTGACGGATAGATTTCACAAAAGAAACTTCAATAGTAATCCATAAATCCTCACATTTGCTCTCCCACTGAATCATACGTTTAGACTTAATTGTTTTTTGAACTGCTATGAGTACTCCACCCCCATCCTTTTTCCTACCGTCCCTATCCCTTTCTGTAAACTATATATCTATTATCAAATAGCTCCGTGCTTAATACAGAACTATTCAACCACGTCTCAGTAAGTACAATAATATCGTAATTATTTAAAGCAAGTTGACAACAAAAATCATGTTTTTAGTACGTAAACCACGAGTGTTCTGATAGTATATACTAAGGCCTGCGAATTTAAAAAAATAATTATAGTAAATGCATCCAATATGTAGAAAAAAATTAAATTAAGTTACACCAATTTATTTAAGGCTTCCTTATTTCTAACCAAAATGTGCTCCGACTCCTGATTTTTCTCATGAATATGCGACCACCTCGGACCCAGACAAACTGATAACCAATTTCCTTGGCCTTGATCCTGGCCGCTGCATGTAGATCTTTGTTTGCAGAGGAAAGATGTTCCGTCACAAAAATTGGCGTGTTTGACCCTACATATCCTAGGTGGGCGCTGTTTAGCTTATTTTGCGAGTTATTTTTATTAAACTTGATAGAAGATGCAAGAAACTGGTCGCGAACTCTCGGAGAAGAAAGCTGCACCACTACTGACCGAGGACGCGTATTGTTTGGTTTAATTTTAGCAACCCTAGTACATTTCAGAATATCTCTGTCTTCTATACCACATCCAATCACTCTAGACATGTCGGATACTATTTGAACCAGATTTTCCAGCTTTTTCTCAGGGAGACATTGTATTTCGATGTTGTTCGATCTAGTCTGCTGTACCAACTGATTCATTTCGGCTTTTAAAAGCACGATCTCATTTTTCATGTCCATGTTTTCCTTTTGCAAGATGTTTATTGTGTCTTTAGATGTAGCGTGGTCTTTAATCAAATCCTCATACTGGCCATTCATAAACGCCATCGAGTCAGACATAGCGCCAATTGTCTCCAGGATTGGTTGCAATTTCCTGTCTAGAGTGTCAACCAATTTATCTTTCAATTCGGAGAACATTTGCGATATTTCGGTTTTAATTACCTCTTGGATAGTTTGACGTATATCATTTTGCGACATTGTATCCTCTATCGCTACCTGGGGTGGGGAGCAAAGTGCTTGCCTCTTATTTCCTCTCGTGGTAGTTACATTGCGTATAGGTTCATTTTACCACAATAAGTATTAGTTAGACGATAAGTACCTACCTACTAAACTCCTAACAATTTATTCTGCAATTTATTTTATATATCTGATCTTGATAAATGAACACGAGCTTTCTAAATCCACTACTTCTAAGAAAATTCGTAAAACGCCTACCAAGTCACGTAGACTGGACCTTATCGTCAAAAATTAAGAAGTAATTTCAAAGATGACTAATAGTTTTTGTTAAAAGGATTTCATTTGTCTACATAATATGTAGAGGGGAACGAACTATCATTTGTAATAAACCAAATATATGTTGTAATGTCAGGTAAGTGTATACTAGAGGCTACACATAACTATAAACAGGACAGAGGTGAATTAAGCTGCCGGGGTTTTACATTGCTACCAATATATTGCATTTATTTAGTCATCTTCCTTAAAATAAATTAATTCTTTACTTCATCAGCGTTCGACTTCGGTACACGTTTCTGAAATGAAAACAGTTTATTAGAAATAGTCCTTCAAATATAACGTGTCTTGCGGTCACAAGTACATTTGTAGTGATAAATTATATTACGATATTATTATACATAGTGGTTTTATCTTCGGCAGCATAAAATTTAATCAATTAAAATTTATAATCGTGATTGCTTACGGACATAAAATTTTATGGATTTTAAAAAGAAAGATGGTAATGTCTTGTTTTTTTTTAAATTTACTTCAGTGTCGAGGAAATGTAAATTTTATCCTGTAGTTGTAGGTACCTAATGGTAGTTATTTTTAATTCAGCTTAAGCGCCGCATGGGTTTTCTTCGATTTCGTATTTTCTTTCGCGGGTTATACGGAAGTCGACTCCGTCTGATGCAACTTTAACTGCCTCATTGGCCAAGTGGTCGCAAGTGCGACTGCCGGGCAAGGGGTCTCGGGTTCGATTCCCGGGTCGGGCAAAGTATTACTGGGGTTTTTTAAAAATTTCAGTAGTAGCACGGAGTCTGGAAATGTGCCCGGTATATGGCAATAGGCTCACCCCCTATTACATGGGACTCATAACATAAATAGTGAAAAGTGGGTGTTACTTCTATGTGCACCTCTGCCTACCCCTTCGGGGATAAAAGGCGTGATGTTATGTGTATGTGTGTATGTGTATAATTTTATAAATCAACAGTATTTAGTCATTATACCTATAGGTTTGTGTTACGTTTCGTTTTGTAAATTTTTCATAAATTTTCTTCTAACTTAGGTACATATCAATACCAACATATAGGTAATTTTATTTTGTATTTTTTAAACCTTATCAGTGACTTTTTTCAACGTTTTCTTTTATTAATTGATTACCTAAATATATTGTTAAGTGTAAGTATCATTTTATCTTTGACGAACTCGTTCTAGTTTTTATTTTATCGCCATAAATATTTAATTTTAGAAAAACTTATTTACGCCAATCCTATTTAATGCGAAAAGGATGTACTAAAGTATGTAGGACCTCTCAACCATTTTTACCGGAATAAAAAATGTTTTAAACTCGCTACAATATGTCCAATCCAATGAAATGGTGGTTCCAACGAAATAGTGCAGTTTTTTTTTAAAGATTTATGTAGATGTATGTACCAGTTGATGCCATTAGAATCGAGGCTTAAAAGGAAAAATTTTAATCACTAGGTGGACCTGTAATTACGAAAGACATTTTAGATATATTTTTTTGTCTGCAGGGAGCGCACGCGAAGGCGGATTGGTATGGCGCGGGTGCTCAGCCGAGTGCGACGCAGAAGACGGCGCGGCGGGTGCGCTCACCGACGGCAACGCCAACCCAGGAGACAAGGTATATATCTACCACCACAAAGCAGATCAGCACCACCAGTCAACCATCTCTTGTATAAGAGTTCAAGGCTTTGACTGCCGACAGAAAACTGTTGAAGGAAAATCCTCCGCTATCGTGGTCCATGATATTGCTACCCATGGCATTCAACGTATGCTAATTGGTCGCAGAATTCTATAACTTCTTCTTCTATAACTGAGTGCAACTACCAATTCCTTTCAAAGGACTCTCTACACGTGTGATTCAATTCTGAAATGAAATTGAAGAAAGAGTCTAAATTCTTATGAGAATGCGTTTCCTGCAGTGGTCTTAAAATTTTCCGCTCATAAAATAACAATTGAGAAAGGTTGATGGTAATAAAACAGACATTTCATTACTGCCTCGACTCTTGCCTTGATGGAAGTGCACTGGAAAATTCTCTAAGCTGATTTAAAATTCTAGAAGCTGTTTAAAGTGGAAAATCTTATTTGTAAAATGTCTTCGGAGGACATTCCTGCGACGAACAACAAACTCAATAAAGCTTTTACTATTTACAATGTCCTTCTGTGTCGAAGTCAATCTTCTTAGCGGCCAACTGGCGAGCTCCTCCTACTTACAAAGTTTTGAACTAAAGCCGGATTATTTTGCTCTCTTTCTCCGCTTCACTATGACTTTATACTTTCTCAAGTGATCTTTTTAATCCTAGAAATGAAGTTACTATGACGTTGTACACGATGCTATGTTTAAATGGAGTTTATTGTGCTCTTAAGGATTTTAAATAGCATCGATGAAGATAAAAGAGAAATTGTAGATAAAGGTCACTTGGTCACCGTTATAGCCACAACAGTTTTCCGCCACATTTATTTAAAAATCCTATTTTATATTAGGTTTTCTGTTAATAATTTTGGTAAGTATACATAATTAACGTGTTGGTTTATTGGATTACGCAGTTGGAGGGGTCGGACGCAGCTCCGGACGACCCTGTTCACCTCAAGAGACGGGTGGGACTCTTCAGTGGGGTGGCTCTAATTGTTGGCACTATGATCGGTATGTCGTCTTTAAACTTATGCTGCCTGCTTATATAAAGTACTCTTCATACGTCCTTCTATATCGGTATACCTATTACACAGTTAAAATATATAGCTTCTATAGATTATGAAATCCATAACTTCGTTTAAATTGAACACGTATGTTGCATATTCCGTCACACATGCTTTTTGTACTCACGTCACAAGCAACGAGCATATTGGCTAGACGAAAAACTATTCAGATGTGCATCTGGCTCAAGATAAACATTTACTTACGTAAGATTCGCAATTAATTATAATAACGTAAATAAAAATTCATTAACTACCATAATATTGAATTAAATACGAGCCGTTTTCAAAAAATGTTTTCCGTTTAGTTAATTTTAGATCTAATCATTTAGCAACATTAAACAAACATTTGTAAACTTTCGTCTGTGGAATATGTATGAGAATCTTTTGCCACTACGAGTTTCCCTGGATATTTTTATGCTCAATAGCTCTTAAATTACATGCCTACGTGCGTAACCATGAATTTGTGTCTAACAAAAGTTACGAATGAATAATGTTTAACTCGAATCTCGAATTGTTACTCTCGAAACGATACTCGATTATGGGAAATGAGATCGTACCTACAAGCACTTGTTGATAGTAATAGGCTTCGGGCCAGCGATCTGTCATTGTTCCAAGATTGTTCACTCGTCAACACTGGACGTAGATCGAGCGATGCCAAAGTGCTCAACACCACGTGTCATTATCAAGTTTAAACAATACATAATGTATTTTGCGTTAAAAATCAACGTCTCGTTAAAATTTATAAGGACTAACTTTTTTCTTGTGAACCTACCAAAATCAAGACAAACATAAAAATGTTAACTACATTAGCGCCATGAATAAACATTTCAACAAGGGGAGACGACCTTTTCCGCTTAATTTGGGCTAAGAAACAAACACCTATATGTTTTTCATAATATCTATAATAATATACAAAACTAACACTACTTAAATATCGGATTGTGCAATTGACAATTTTTGTTTTCCAGGTTCTGGAATATTCGTCTCGCCCTCTGGGCTTCTGGAGCGTACCGGCTCAGTGGGCATTAGCTTCATCATTTGGATGGCATGTGGCCTGCTCTCGCTGCTTGGTAAGTGGCTCATGTGAACAATAATTATTCGACAATCAGTCTCGTGACCGATGTACTTCCATCATCAAATTGGTTAACTATCTCAACGAGCAGGAGTGGTACATACACATACTTATATCGCAAAGTTTAATAGCGTTGTAGGGTACACATACAAGAGATTGCAAATTGATATATCAACGATTCCCATCAACTTCGTAGGTAGGTACTCGTTGCCGGCTTCAATAGATTCAATTTTAAATATTGACATTGCTTGCTGTAATTGCTTTGCTGTAGTCAAGTACAGCTGATCTTGGCTTGTATCACGTTGTCACGGCATGTTACCCTACAATTACGTAGGTTAATTAATATATATCACGAGCTGAAAGATATGATCTTATTCTTTTAAGATATCAATTAAAGAAGATGATGATTTACTTTAATTAGGAGCGCTCGCATATGCGGAGTTGGGAACGATGAACACGTCGTCAGGCGCTGAGTACGCCTACTTTATGGACGCTTTCGGAGGACCTCCTGCGTTTCTATTTTCATGGGTAAGTAACATAAACTTCATTCTAAAGAAATAAAGTAACTTGATAAAATACCAGCACTAAAAGATTCCTCCTTCTGATTGCAGGTATCGACATTAGTACTGAAGCCATCTCAGATGGCTATAATATGTTTGAGTTTCGCAAAATATGCAGTGGAACCATTCGTATCAGAGTGTGAACCGCCAACCAGCCTGGTCAAACTTGTCGCGGTCATTTCTATTGGTACGTGAAATTGCCACACATCATAAAGCATATTAAAACCTTCAATATACTTCATTAAGGATCGAAATAGACGAGTATCAATTGATATATAGCGATTGCTGATTGAAGTCAATGAGTTCTCGTCGGTTGGAAGCTTTAAATAGTCAACTATACTTACATCATAATTTCTCTTTACAGTGATGATATTAGCTGTAAATTGCTACAGCGTCAATTTAGCTACGAATGTACAAAACATCTTCACGGCAGCTAAGCTGGTGGCGATTGCGATCATTGTGGGCGGTGGAGCTTACAAGTTAATATTAGGTAATGAATTCTATATATGATTAAAACCCATATCCACACAAGAGCTTTTATCCATTACCATCACAACCCGTCCTAACCCGGCCAAGGAGAAGTGGAATCGATCAGGTTCACCAGATGCAGCCGACTTTTCAACTATAACTACCATATCCACACATCACACGGCTATCTAATGAAATTACCATCTAATGTTATTCCTACAACAACTTGGTCATTAGAAAATGGGGCACTGTACCTAGCCCAAATCAAGCTCAACGTATCCATTACCCGCCTTTTCATTATCCTAATGGGTTGTAAATATTTGTTCAAACACTGACGGTTGGTTGTTCGATATGGTGCAGGTAATACGCGACATTTACAGGAGCCCAACTTCGCAAGTAGCACCGCCACGCTGGGCAACATTGCCACAGCGTTCTACACTGGCCTTTGGGCATATGACGGTTGGAATAACCTGAACTATGTCACTGAGGAAATTAAGAATCCATCCAAGTAAGTGGTTATTTGTTACTTTACGAATATTCTTAGAATGATATTTAAATTAACTTCTAAGAAACGCTTAAGCAATTTATTGATTTACTGACATCATTCAGTACCTTCAGTTGTTTCCTTATTTTGCCCTAATAGGATTACGACCTAAACAGTTTGCTTTTCATTTCGAATTATTAGTACTTATTGGATACCTACACGGTAGCTAAGACTAATTAGCATTGTTAATAAACTTATAGGAACTTACCGTTGAGCATAATAATCGGCATTCCGCTGGTGACGCTCTGCTACGCCTTGGTGAACGTGTCGTACCTGGCTGTGATGTCGGTGAGCGAGATGGCGGACAGCGAGGCAGTGGCAGTCACCTTCGGGAACAGGCTGCTGGGTCCACTCGCCTGGCTCATGCCACTCGCAGTCACCATCTCAACATTCGGATCTGCCAACGGCACGCTGTTTGTCGCGGGAAGGTAGGACACTGAACGATGTATGCTTCTGAGGCGCTTAGTGGCATTTCCACGCTCGCATTTGGTCTGTTAATTTTTAAGAAAGAAAAGCTACTGTATTGTTTTGTCACTTATAATAATTTTTTCCTAAATAAATTTTTATTTTTAACAGGTTGTGTTTCGCAGCATCTAGGGAAGGTCATTTGTTGGACATCTTATCGTACGTCCACGTGCGCCGTTTCACTCCAGCTCCAGGACTGATTTTCCATGTAAGTTAACACCTTCTTGATACAAGTAATTGACACAAGATAATTTTATTTAAGAAACAATGATTTTAAACTGATAATTATTTACCTTTTGCAGTCCTTGATAGCAGTGGCAATGGTGTTGTACGGAACGATAGACTCGTTGATTGACTTCTTCTCCTTCACCGCGTGGATCTTCTACGGCGGCGCAATGCTCGCATTGATCGTTATGAGGCGTACGAAGCCGCATGCACCCAGACCATATAAGGTATGCCATATAACTTCATTCACTCATGATAAAAAAATTAAATAGTGTGCGATATCGGCATTCCCACTGGTTTTTTTTTATAGTATAAAAGTAATTATTATATTTTTAGGTGCCGATTATAATCCCGTACGTCGTATTGCTGGTGTCGACCTACCTGGTGGTAGCACCAATTGTTGACAAGCCCCAATGGGAGTACCTATACGCCACCGCCTTCATATTCGGTGGCCTCTTGGTCTACGTGCCTTTCGTCAAGTGGGGCTACTCTCTACCGTTCATGGGTAAGAATTTCAAGATTTGAATGTGAAGTAAACACTGAACATATTATGCCTTATATGTCTTACCGCTGCTTATAGCAGTTTAACCAGGACCGAATCTATCAGTCACTACCTAACTAAAAATTTTCTTTCAGATAAAATAACCGTTTTCTTGCAAATGGTGCTGGAGGTAGTGCCAACGTCAACAACGTTCGAATATTAGGAAGTAGTCGGAGCTGGACTTTAAAGAAGCAATTGTGACAAATTCTCGTCGATTTATTGTACCATATCTAAGTATCATTTGGATTTCGTACATTGTTAACTATTTTTTGGTCCTGTTTCGCCTAACCTCGAGAAAGTTTAAAAAGGTAATGTTATCAAAAATAATATATTTTGTAACCAGTTGATACTTCAATTTCTTAGAGGCGGTGATATACCTAGATACTTAATTAAAATTTGATATAATTTTTTGACTGATAGGTATGTTCCTTATCCAAAATTATTGCCCACAATATTGTGTAATGCAATAAATAACTCTCTGTAAAATTATATGTATAATATCGTGTTATATGACTTAAAAATTACATGGTATTTTGATGTTGTTGCAGCGTAAAGCTTTTTACACTTTTGTTTTCGAATTTTAAGAAAAAATGTTGTACTTATGAAATATATTTCGTAATAATAATGCAGTGTTAAAAATGTGAAAGCCAAATGGCAATATTTTTTGCTATAACTTAGGTAGTAATGACGTCGTTCATTTCATTAGTTTGCACGAATCATTCCTATGGGGACATGCATTTCGAGGCGTTGACACTGTGCCATGTTGAGGCGAGGCAAGGTGATTCTGATCGTGGTAGATAATATCAATATGTGACGTGACGTGAGGGTTAAGGATAATGGTTCAAGCACCCTGATAGCCGTGACAAATGCAATTATAATTTATGATCTATTTAGGTCTTGTTCAAATGGCGATTAAACGTTTTGACCATGTTTAACTTGGATAAACTCAGTACCTTGATTAAACTAAGTATGGTAAGGCCGAGCATAGTAAATTCTAAGAGGTCGATTAAAGTACCTACTTTATTTTCCTGTTATGAATGTTTGTCTCTGGAGGGCTGTTACGGTGCACTGCAAGATTTATCCTCAATCCTCAAACAGACTGCAGGTAGCAAGAATGATGTATCATAGGTACATGGTATGCAGTAGTTCTCGATAAGACTCGAGCCCTGTTCGCATCACTATGAGTGATTGTGCTAAACTCATAGTTTGTAGCTCATCAACTCATCATAGCCAACCTTAGAAGTTATGGAGTAGGTATAGAAATGTGTTTTATTTTGATAATAAATAAATATTTAATAAATTCGGTTTGCGTTAAGTAATACTTACAGGGGATAATAATTAGTTTGACGTACCTATTTGTTTACGGTGCTGATACGCTAGGACTATACCCAAGAATGCAAGTATTTGTATTGGCAAATTGTCACTAATTGTACAATCAATTAATGGCAAGGTATTTAAGAGTGTGTCCATAAATCTCAATTGCTGATTGTACAAGATCGTTCTAAACGGAGCTCAGAGGCACAAAAGGCTAAGGATATTTACATGTAAAGTGGAAAAAATCTCAATCTTGGGCGGATACTTTATCCCTTTTGAAAGACTAAAGTGTGTGTTAACAATAGTTTGTAAAAAAATGTTTGTTTCAATGGCTGATGTTTGCGATCGGTAAAATTTGGTCCTATCATTCCTTACCGGGGCAGACGAGGCCATCGACTTTTTATTGAAGATATTTTTATATTTATTGATTTTAATAATTATAATACATGATTTTTTATTACTCAATCATTTGAAATATTTAAGATTTAGGTACTTTAAAAATAAATTAGAAAACTCTAATGCTAATTTCTATAAGTTGCCCAATTGTTTAGTTTTATTGTATTTATCTAGCAGTTTGAACATGATAAGAGTACATAATTTATGTAGTTGATAAATACTAAGCAAAAACGGGCACACAGAAAGTACACACCTGACGATGTGATATTGTTATGGGTAAAAACGAATGGTTTTATTTTGTGTACAGAAATATCATAAAACATACCTATACTTACATAATATAAATGTGTGTACTTATCTCTGAAAGAGATCAGAATTATTTATTGTTATATACTACCATTGAAATGAAATTTTAAATAAAGACAAATAAATCAGCTGCTTGTTTTAATCTTACCGTAACAAAAATAAAAGAATAAGTAATGTTCAACAATTTATTGTTGTCAAAAAACAAAGATCACAGATCTTTGAGCAGTTCTATACCATTTGAAATATTTTGGCGAGTCGGGAACATTCGTAATGAGTGGGTAACTCATACAACACAAGACTTACAGGTTATGAATGGTTATAGAACACCTATGCTATTATTGTCTATGTTATGATCATTACTTTAAATCTAAAAGGATATCAAGGGATTGCAGTCAATAATGGTACTAAAGTCGTAAACATAATAATATATTTTATATATCATTCAACACGTACACTCTCATATAAATATATGCAAGCCATTCTTTCTACAAATTGTATAAAATACACAACATAATCGGGCATGTTGTACATATTGCAGGTAACAAGATGAGTGCTGTCAATAAATTGCAGTAAGATAACATTCATGGCGTCACCATACTGCCCAAGTATATATTCACTATTACTTTACAATATGTGTATAAGAAATTTCATTTACGATATTTCAACAATGAATAACAACATACTACAATATAATAATATCAGTTCACTGCAAAATAGCCAAAATATTTCTAAAATGGTATGAATTGACTTAGATTCGCTTTGCTTCCAAGGCTTTCTGATATTCACATGGCATTATATAATAGACTATTAGATATATTTCTGATTTAGAACCTAAGGTGCGGTTTATTCTTCATCATGTGCCTGGAACAAAAATAAAAGGTTAGTAGTGTGTAGTTTGGATATTGAAGAAGCAAATGTTCTTGACGTAACACACTATGACGTAAGATAACCTCATACATGTGAATGTGACAAGAACCAATCTATTTTTAAGTACATAAATCTTTTTATGTTTTTTTACATTACAGTCTATTTCTAGCTAAATCTGTATAAAATTCACTTACAAGTTTATTGGAGGAAGCATTTCAAATAAACCCTATTCTCTCGCGCTCTCCCGGGTATCGTAAGGGCCGACTTAGGACTACACATTTAAAACACTGTTTGATGAACCTGAACTGCGATGGGTACCCTTATAGCGAAACCTTTAACTTATACTTATCATAAACCCTTAACTTAATGTTACGCGTTTAAAAATCGCCGAGGTTCCGCTGTGGCGTGGCCGGGCTTTGTATGACTTAAGAATTCCTGTCTAAAGGTCAGTAGACTGTTATTTTATTATTTACTAGCTAAACCGACGAACTTCGTACAGTCATATATCAAGAAATATCTTTTTTTTCTTGCATAAGAACCTTCTCCTAATAATAACAAATACAACAAAAATAGAATTAGTAAAATCGGTCCAGCCATTCACGCGTGATTCCGTGACCAAGGAAAAAGGGGATTTATTTTTACATAATATAGATTTTAGCCATGATCGTCCCACTGCAGGGCAAAGGCCTCCCTGCTCTCCTTCCACACCTCTCTATTTAAAGGTTTTTGCGGCCAATCTTTGTCATTATTATTATTAGCTATTGATGAATAAAATTAGTCTATTATATACTTACTTGTCAAGTGTCTCCCAAAATCCGAGTAGGACAGCGCGGTCAAGATGCCGCTTGGTGCGACTTAGGTTTAGTACAGTGACGGCCCAGCGGGCGACATTCGCGTCTAGTTTCATTTCGTCATACTTCAAGTGAAACGCACAAACTGGAAATAAGAAAACATTATATAAAAATGTAATAAACTAGACCAATCTTAAACAAGATCAAGAGCTTTTCTATTAACTTAATAGGTTAACCTTCAGTTTGCATACTCAAATCACCTTTCATATTCCTTTATCTTGTACATAAATTATTAATTGGAGGTAAAGTACTCACTATTAGCAAATATCTGGACGGGATTGCCGTCCCAAGGCCATCCCTTGAACTGCCAGGCTGGTCCCTGCACGAATACTGCGACAACTCTGTCCCATTCAGCGGCTGATAGCCTGCCAGGGTTGTCTACGACGCGATAAGGTACCTGAAAGTTAATATGCATTAAACAAAAACGTACAACAATGTGTCTAATATTATAATTATTAATTTATTGATGTTATTGGGGTATATTTGTCTAAAAATAATAGAGATAAGAATTCGATAATTCTCTAATTAGAAAAATGACTGATGTGTTTATTGGACTCTTGCAAATAACTGGGTAATTAAAAAGATTTTTTGGGGAATACAAAATGAAGATTTTTTACACACACATACAAAGTGGACATAATAATATGCTAGTGTCTATGCGTTTGTGAATAAAGTTAAATTAAAATACCGTAATAGTAGTCGCGTTGTTAGGTACATCCCCTGTGGGTCCTTTTCTCCTCTGCAACAATACTTCATTTTCACGAGCCGCGCCTTCAGCTTTCTTCTGTTCCACAGTAACGAACCTAAAAATAGACATCCCCAAATTGTAATAAATCAAATGTATGTGAAATAGTCGAGTTACCTCGTCAAACACTGACGCCAGCTAAGCTAAGCCGTAAACCCGTAAAACACAATTAATTTAACGCATTTAACGAGAGTTACGCATATACAAAGAATAGTTGAATGCTTTAAATCAAGTCAATTCAATGTTTGAACTTACTTAAGATCCTGCAGTGTGTCTTTAACGTTGTACATGGATATGAGTGAGGTGGTGGCTGCGGGGATGATGATGATGGGTGTGCGCGATGGCCGCTTCCCGCCCGCGCCGGCTGGGGGACGCGCCGCTGCCACTGGTAGCAGTTCACGACGCCCCGGAGTACTACCGCCCATTGAGCCGTTTTCTACACGACGTCATAATATTACACATATTATTTATCATGTAAAAGGGTTCCTGGATTAATAGTGAATCGAAAATGAAAATTGTCTGCTAGAAACAACCTAGCGTAAATAAAAAATAGATGGAATGTTTAACAAATTACTGATATTAATATAAAAAAAATACTTACGTGGCATTTGCCTAGGATGGCTTGGTGTTTGAGGCGCGCGCGCAGCGGCCGGTACACTTGGTCCCTCTGTTACTGACTTCAGTGTCATACCGTGATAGGTACCCATAGTGTCGATTTTGAAGCCTTCCGTTTCTGTAATGAAAGAAAAGAAATATGTTGTGTAAATATACATTATGATGTGTTACTTAATTTCGCCACTAAATACACGTTACAGGCAAGCATCTTTACCAAAACTAGGAATCCCATAAACTGTAGAAAAATGAGTGAATGTATCACTTACATATAATGTATGTGATACCTTCACTCATTTTTCTACATTATACGGTAAATTAGTCGTATCCAGTGAACTGAAGAAGTAAACCAATGAAAACCATTCAATAGATAGGGATCCATCACAGTCGAGAATAGGGAAATTGAGATTTTTTTTGGAGATTATTGTGAACAAAATCATACCTTCTTTTTGCCTAATAAACCTTTCCTGATCGTATCTGTTGTACTGGGTTTGCTGCTGTGGTAACGATGTGGGCTGTGGCATGACTATGGGTTGCGGCCGTGGCGCTCCTGGTCGACCTTCTTCTCGCGCTCGAATACTACCCAACAGAGCTAGAATGCTCTTTGCAAACACCTGGAAATGTTTATAAAATTAATATTTGTTATTTTTTCATTTATTCATTAAATATGGCAATGATCATTTCATCATTTCATTTGATTTCGTTGCTTCATCTGATGAGTAGGTAGTCCAGATAACCAAACCACTTTACACCATGATCATTTTCGGAGAATATCCTCATTTGTAAAATGAAGAATCGTAAATGGATTGCAGGTTTCCTTACGTTGAATTGATTAAATAGATAAGAGATAAACTTCTCGTTGGAGCCAGACACATGCAGCCGCACAATGAAAAACTAGTTGCAATTCGATTCTAATAAAATCATTCAACATGATTGTCTTTTCACTCACCTTTCCGTTACTTTGTAATACTGTCGTTCTTGTACGCCACTGTCTCTCCCGGCTCATAATATCCTTGGTTAGATCTACGTCATAGTCGAGGATGGCTCTAAAATCTGATCCGACGACACCCAGCGTATCGGAGTAGTCGTTGCTCTTGATTGTAGTCCTCTTCTTTGCCAAACGTTTAGCTTTGATGGCGGCAATTTTCTCCACTGACATAGCCTCCGATAAAGACCTTTATAAACGTAAATTCATTTTAAAAGGATTTCTTTCATAAATCATATATATTTTTGTTGCTTGAAATATGAATTATATATTATATCCCCGAAGGGGTAGGCAGAGGTGCACATTATGCCACTGTACAATATGCATGTAACAGGAGGAAAATATGAATATGAATTGAATTATTTATATTGATTTTATTGCAGTTTCTATATTGAATTAAAATAATATGTTAGTGCCGTCTTCATCAAGAACAGAGGCCACAAAAACTTATGTATGTAGTAAGTAATATAAAAGTTATTTTATAATGAAGTTCATCAATGTTTCATATTGATTTTACTATTTATTTTTAAGTTACATTTTAACAACTACACTAATAATTAGAAATGATTTGGTTGGTTATATTTATATATTTTTTACTATTGGATACTTTATTTATCAGGGAGTAACATATACTGACAGTTCCGATAAACCTATGGGATATCAAGTCATCGGGAGGAAATCATTGAATCTCCATGAGACAGCCAGAAAATTTAAAAATTTAAAATTCCTATTTATTTATAGCCGTCCATATTTAAACCAGAATTAATAATAGTAACTTAAAGCTTAATGAATTCAGACATATTGTATTTCTTATGAGATGCTATAATTTGTAATAAGATTTCAAAACATTAAAACTTACTTGATATTGTCAACTGTGACGGATGCCTCTTTTGGAGCATCAAGTCTAGCTGCGAGCTGTTCTCGTACTTTTTGTACATGGGTTTCCTCAATGCGAGGTTTCTTTGCTGCAGATTCACCACCATCGTGATCATGAGTACGTTTTACCTAGAATAATTAAAATTAAGTCCTGTAGCATATTATCTCCTGTAAAATTAAATTACATGTGGTATTAAAATTTAATACCACTATAATTGGTTACAAAATTGCATGTGGTATTAAAATTTAATACATACCACAAGTAATTAGTTACAAAATAGTATGTGGTATTAAAAGTTAATCAAGTATTAAATTGTGATATTTATAATGTATGGTAATGTAACGTTATAATAAAATGTTTACCTGTGTTGGTATTTCTAGAGGAGCACTTTTATCTATTGATGCACAAGTTGCAGTTTCACCATTCAAGTATGCCAACAATTCTTTACGATCTGGACGACGCACAGCCGGTATGTTTGCAGCCTGTACAAAATAACACATTCACTGCATATTCATATTGGGAGAAATTACCACAAAAAATACCACTTTACTTACAGCTGCTTGTCTAACATAAACTGGATGGGTCAACTGTATATTCTTAAGAATGAATAGAAGACATTCCAATGTATAATATTCTTTATCATTGCCTTCCTTTCCAGACCTGAAAAATATTACATTTTACAAAATTATTAGTATTACACATGTCAGCATCTTCTGAATCTCATAAATTGAAATAAGAAAGCTTCACTTACCCCCACATAAGGTAGTTGGTTTTAACATTTTTGGGCCAAGAGAATTCACCAAATATAATTTGATTATCTCGTTCAATTATTTCTTTTTTGTTTACGTTGTACTGGCGAAGTAAACTCAACGGGTCCGCCATGATTACCTACTTCACTGTCGTATTCACTGCATAAAACACAAGTACAAATTACAGTTAAATTATAAATAAAAGAGTAAACATTCGTCAAATAATATTTTGGGAACTGAATATTCGACAAATATTATAGCGGGCTAACATTTAGCTTTTTATCACAATACACATCAACACACAATACACTGACACAACTGACTGTGCTGCCATTGCCCACAGATGAATAAAGTAAGGTGAAAAACCAGTGTTACCAACTCTCAAAAATATTTATCCCTAGAATAATTAAGGAGATTTTAGGGATTTTTGATAAAATGTCAAATTCTATTGTAATTATTATAATGTCTCTCTAAAAATAAATAAATAAAGAAATATAAATTCATAGTGATGAAATGAGTACCTATGCTATTTGTCGCAAAAATATTATGACGATTTTATCTCGTACAAAATTCATAGAAAAGTATTGTTTTTCACATTTCGATAAAATTATTGAATTTGACTAGTTGGAAAATACCGAATTACGGCTTATTGGAGTCAAAAAATTTCCTGAAAATATAAAATCCTATTTCACATAATAACCTCCGAAATCTGGGGAAAAACAATATACCACAGATGAAATATAATTCTACTATTCATAAAAATAAAATAAATACATTTTATTTATTTTGAAATATGTACATACAATCAAACCTGATCACGAACTGAAACTAGATTTCAGTTATTTATATTTTTGCAATAATAACCAATATTAACATAACTTTATTCAGTGGAAAATCAAATTAAATAGAGAACAGCCAAACAAAGGCTAAGATTAAAATTATATTATTTTTATTTAATTTGTTTTTAATTATCAATAATAGTATCATATGATGGTTTGATTTAAAATTAAATTAAATATTTTTTCTTCTAGTGTCATCTGGGAGCAAAACTAATAAACTTTTAATAAAAGTTTTCATTTCTATTGTATAGGTGGCGCCAACTGCAACATATTATAAATTGTTTTCTAAACATGGCTGCCGGTGGAGTCTAATGATATTTTTTTGTGAATTCTGCCCTATTAACTAATTTTAAATCAAATCAAAACTTTGTTAATGGTGTTAATATGACATAGTAGTTACAGTTGAAATAAGATGACTTCCACTCCAAAGACTGACAAATGCGGACAAGGTATGTGAAGTTTTCATAATGCTTTTCTTTCGTGTATAAATTTATTACAGTTTCAGTTCATCTGTTTCTCTAGTTCTATTTATATTTCTAACTGAATGTAATAAAAAGTAAACCACTCGAATTATGTATAATATTTCTTAATTTTGCTATTATAATTGAACGCTTTGGTTGGTTGAGTAGTGGGTATACATTTTGATAGTTATTGGATCGTTGAGAGTAATCTAGGGAACATTGCAAATACAAGTACAATATTTAATTGTCCTCAAATAGAGTTTGGTTTGTGAAATCGATAGAATAGCACTTTTTCCTTGTCATTAGTCATGAGCTAAATAAACATTAGTTATTGTTAACAATTCTTGTAACAGTGTTAATAATGGAAATAATGTTTAATGCTTTTGTGAATTACACATAATATTTAGATACAAGGATATAACTTATTGATTTCATTAAATTTTACTAAATCCTTTGTCTCTTTTTTAGTTATCTGTCAAATTCTTATATGAACATGCAGGTTTGTTACATATTCAGACCTGGTATTTCTAATAAAAAAAGGATAAAGAATGTTCACATTGTTCCAGTAAAGTTTCCTGTTTCATAGACTCATCTTAGGTTTATTACAAAACATGTGTGTCATGAATGGTGACTGATACTTAAGTATATTTTTATCAATAACATGTAAATGTTATGATATCATTGTATACTGTGTTATGTTACTGTGTTATTTATCAGCCTAACAAATTTTATCAGTTGATGACCGACATTCACACAATGAATAAAAGCTTGAATCTCATAAGTGTAAGTTGCCCATTAATATAAATATACGTAATAGTTAGTGTTCATTTTGATTTAATATGTAGTCATATTAGATCAAAATATCAACAAAATGTATAGAAAATTTTGTTGCTAATTTTAGTAACAATATTAACCAAAATCTGAAAGGTTGAAATAATATTATCTGTAGAGTTTAGTCTCATCTTTCTGTCATTAACTTCAACAAATAATTTACTATGGAATCCTGTTTCACAATTTTTGAATAAGTATTGGTTATTAAAATCTTAATTTACTGTTAGTTTGACATATTTTCCAAGCAAACTGTGTCTCAATTTTATGTGTTAAACTAAGAACATTGTAGCCAAACGCGAAACAGGCTCTTCATTTTCTTACTAAGATAAATTATGAAACCTATCTAATTTTTCTATAATATCTAACCGACTTTCCCAAAAAGAGGAAGTTCTCAAAGAGTATAAATGTAAATTTTTGATTTGATAAAAATTAATGATCGAAAACAACTCATGGTTTATGATACAGAATATCAAAATATGAATCTCATAATAAATCTTTGCAAAATTAACAAATAAATTACTAGAGAGCCAACTAACGGATACAAAATTATTTTTATGTTGTTTCAAAGTCCCTTATTGATCTGATTTAAAATAATACTTTTACTTTTGATTAACTTTAACCCTAACTTTTATTCAAATTGCAAAACCATTGATTAAACTTCAGATAAGTCATGAGTATCACTACATAGTAACTAGTATAAAACAAAGTTGCTTTCTATGTCCCTTTGTATGCTTAAATCTTTGAAACTACGCAACGGATTTAGTTGCGGTTTTTTTTAATAGATGGAGTGATTCAAGAGGAAGTTTTATATGTATATTACATGCATATTGCACCCGTGCGAAGCCGGGGCGGGTCGCTAGTTAACTCGTCGAGTACCGGTTTTATAGACACAATTAAAGAACAATAGGTCGCGGTCACCGGTGACCGCTTGGTGTTTGACAGTTTAATACTACAATCGTAGTATTTCGGAACTCTAAAGTACCTTATAATATTTTATTAGCCTAGTTAATATACTACAGTTAGCGTCTGTTAAATGGAACTTAATGTAACTGGCCAAAACACTTTCAGTGTGTACAGATCTACATACTCTTTGGGAATTAAAAGGCGTAATGCAATGTAAAATTATAATGTCCATAAATGTTTGCCTTGGGTACATCCTTCCTATACACAACAACTGTAATTGCGAATCGACTAGCTCAATACGTACGGTACGTAGCATCCGCCGCGCCTGTGGCAGTGGCAATTTTTGGTCTGTCCCACATTTTTGATTGGATTCGCTACAGATCAGCTCATCTATGAATCGGCACTAGTATGGGTAAGCTCGAGCAGAGCCGATTACATTTATTATTTTAACAGAATAAACGCTATATAACGTTATGGTAGCCAAAAGTATACATACTTAAATACTGATGTAGGTAAGATTACTGTACAAAGTTTCTGAAAATTTTAATAGAATTCACAGCATCAGTATCCATATATTAAAGTTCTTTGGGTTTTATTTGCTATCAGAAAATGGAGTCATGATCACGTAATTTATATACAAATTAGCTTTTATATGATTTTGCGTAATAACTCGTAAGCTATCACACAACAATTACGAATATCTAAAGAATAATTAAGCAAGTAAAGCGGGTCCTAGGAAATGGAGAACCCTTTCTTAGGATCCACTTTACAAAAATTTGTACTTTCTTGCATAAAAACTTAAATATTATTTTTTTATTAGATTACTGTTGTAATATCCGCTTCGTTCTAGTTTCTAGGTTCTTTTAATTGTTATATTATGATGTCATTTGTGTCTTCAACTCAAACTTATTAATTAACGCTGAACGTTGGACATGAAACGAAAAAAATATCTTTCTTATATTGTGCTTAAGCAGTTCATGACGGTTTTTTTTTAATTGGCAAGTAGTTTACAAATAAGCTGTGTTATTAAGTACAACACGTTACGTGTTTGATTCTAAACCACACAATACAATTGTCTATTTTAAATTAAAACTATGTAAAATAAACTCCCCAAAAAGGAAATGTATAGTAATAGTAATAGTTTTCAATTATTGTACATTTCATCTAACAATAACTGTAACGGCATCGCATATTCATATTGGGCAATCAATATGAGATTCTTGCGTTGCGTTGAAAGATAGAATAGCATAGCGAGATATTGAGAGTAGTGCGTTCTGTCTCGCACCACTAATTATGATCATTATACAATCGCAAGTTTTTTTAATTCATACGTATAACATTATATTTTTATCATTGCTCTAATGTACCATTAATTAACTGTTATTAGTCTTCCGACACAGGCTTTTGTAACCTGCTAAAGTAATCTTATTGATAAGGCAATGAAATAATTAAATACGTTATCTGTCTTTATTTGATTTATTTCAAGCATAGAACCGTGGACGCAAATCTACAATGGATATAAAAATTAAGTAAGAAATACAGTGGTAAAACGAGCTCCTTGCCCGCGACTTTAGGGTTTATTAGTTTACAACACGCACTCGAACTTAAGGATAATTTTAATTATTTGAACCCTCTGAAATATGAATTATTGTCGGTACATTCGTTTTAGGTTTAATAAATAGATCTAGAAAGTCGAGATATCTAAATTCCGTAATGCTTGTAAATAATTTGGTCCTATGCATAGGCTGCTTGATGGCTTAGCAGTCACGGACGCAGTTTGAACGTGATTGCGGTCGTCCAACCTCGTTCCACTCGTGTAAGAGAACAACGTACTGGGACTGTTATTTCTTGTAACCGTTGTAATTAAAATAAATGTTTTGGTTTCCAGGCTTGACAGCCATTGTTATGGAAAGAATATGGGATAGTTCAAATGACAGTCTTTTTGTCGAGATTAAAATAAGCATTTTATTACCAAACAGGAAATAATACTCGATAAACGACATTGTGGGAAAATGAGGACGCTTTGAAAATAACATTTTATTACAATAACTAAGTCTTAATTAAAGTTGGCCTTTTGAAGCCACTTTCAATGTTTTCTGCCTCATCATTACTGAGTATGTGAAACTGTCCTGTCAGACTTGGAATTACGTTGGCACAAATTTTATTCGCATGTGTACTGTACCTCAACAGTTATTCGAGCTATTTCATAATGCTCTTCTGAATATAGAGACCCGTTATATGGAACCCATTTGCACTTGCCACATGTTACCTCCATTACAAAGCTATTCACATAGCGTCTTCTATGCAAATGTGTGTTTAAGTGCGCCAATTCAATTCTCTTCGGAGACTCTTGATTGATGTAGCTGCTTCTTCTCATACAGTACAAAGTTTCACAGTATGGCACATCTATTAGGGTAACTGTTATTTATATTTCGATGAAAGTGAAAGTAAAGATGTAACGAAAAAACAACTTTTTCAACAAAGAATTCTGTTGTTGTTGTGTATTGAATAGTTGATGTATCTGGTATTAACCAGATGTACACTATAGTATTTCACTTACGAATTATTTCAAATCTTTTTTTTTCGGAACATACTAGTTGTATCTAAAGATACTTTAATTAATTGGTTTCCATGGATTACGTGTATCAGTGTTACGGGGGCACACGAGTAGTATTTGATCATGTGTTTTACCGTTTGAGCAAGCCAGTAGGATTCGCAAAATACTACTAGGAGTACTGGGTAATTTTAATTTTGAGTATTGAGCAACAAGGCGCTGCTTAAATAAGTAATTCTTTAATAAAATCCAAAATATCTGAATCGATCCAAGTTTTCCACAGAATGTCATTAGAACTAATATCGATATTTTTTGCCTTTAAGTCAATGTATAAAATGGCACAGTAATCCCAAGTTGCTAACAACTAATATTGAGGCATTTACTTGCTAAGTATAACTAGACTTTTTGTTCTTTTAAATATTTTATTATGCCCCTGAGATAGATGTTCGGTTCGTCTCAGCTACATACTTACGCAATTATAATAGTATGGTGTTGCCACAGCGTATGTAATGATGATCGTGCGCTCGATTTCGCAGTATTTCATTAATATTTCATTACAAGTGTGATGCTTGTTTATGTTTAATTTCCTTACCACTCAATACGTGGCATATCGTTTATTTGCAACTTGTAATCGTAAGATATAGAGTAGGTTGAAAAAACTGTAATAGATATTTCGGTAATGTTAATGGAATTTCTGCAG